AAATAACAGAACTGTCTGATTCCTTTCTAAGATATACAGGAGCTCTCCTATCGGTTTGATTGAATCCATGTTCACATAGCCAAAGCCTTACTCAAATTATACATATTGGTCCTTGGCACATACCTACTATATACCCTATATGTACCCTTAAGGACCCCTAAAAAGGCCTAAGGGCCCATATTAGGGGCCCATACTTCTAACCCTAGAAGGTTTGGGGCTGCTTGAGTTTTAAGTTTTGGGGTCCCCGGGGCTTGGAGCTCGGGTTGCCCGGCGCTTTGGGGGTTTAGATTGGAGTTTAGGGTGAATGGAAACTACTATAATGGGCTATATAGGGTATATATTCAGGTTATATTGGGATAATGGAAAATGAAATGGAAACTACTATAATATATTGGGTGGGGTTGCTTAGGGGTAGGGTATGGATTTGTCTAGGTCTTGAGCTGTGTCAGTTTTGAGGTCTAGGGAGTGCGGTTTGGGGTTGCTCATGGGAAGGGTATGGATTTGTCGAGGATTCCGGATTTGGATTGTTTGAGTTTAAAGGCTTATGTAAGGGTTAAAAATTTTGGGTTAACCACGGTTTGGGAGCTTCATAAGAGCTTTGGGCTTGGTGATGTTCAGGATAGGCACGCATTCGTCCGGGGGTTAGGGTTGAGGTGGTTGAAGTTGTATCGTTTAGGGCCTTGGGGGTAGGTCCGCCTAAGCACATGGGTTTGGGGTTGCTCACGGTTTGGAGTTTGGATTGGGGTGAAGGGCTTGGTTGGTTTTGTCTAGGCTTGGTTGGGAATGCTCGAGTCTCAAGGTCTAGGGCGTAAGGTTTGGGGTTGTTTGGGGCTGCTGCGGGGTAGGGTATGTTTTACCTATAGTTCAAAGTTTGCGGTGCTTCCTTCCTTGAAAGGAGAGGGGCTCAGGGTTTAGGGCTGCTTACAGTTTTTGGTGTGGATTAGGGTTTAAGGTCTGGGGTTGTTCAGAGTTGGGATATGGATTTGATGAACGCTTCGGGGTTAAGATTTGGGTTGTTCACGATTTGGGGTTTGGATTAGTGTTTACTGCTTCGGGTTGTTCAGGGGTAGGGTACGGATTCGTACCAGGATACAGTCGTGAATTGCCCTGTTTAGGGCTCGGGGTTGGAGGTTGGTTTGGGCTTGACTCAAGTTTACGTTGATGGACTGGGGCTGGATGGGGTTGCGTTTCTGATTGTTAAGTGCTTGGGCTGGTTTAAGCCATTTTAGGCTTTCGGTTGTGGCTTTGTGGCTGTCTTGAGCCTCGGGTTTGGGGTTGGTAGGGTGTAGGGTTTGAAATCGGGTTGTTTTCGCCGGTGAGCTGCGTATGTTCGAGGGCCAAGGTTGATTTGGATTTAGGGTTCAGAAGTTGCCTAGGGTTTTTGCTGTCAAAGTTTAGGATTCGCATTTTATTCACAGTGCAGGGACGCTAAATGTCTAGACTTGGTCAGGGTTTGGGGGTTTGAATTGGGGGTTTGGATTGGGGCTTAGGATTTGGGATTGTTTAGGGTTTGGGGCTGTTCGGGATTTAGGGTTTGGGATTGTTCAAGATCTCGTGTTTGCAGTGCTTTCGGGTTTAGGGTTGGGGTCTGTGTAGAGCATATGGGAGGTAACATTCATATAGGATTGAGGGCCTTCCTGGGCTCAAGGTGAAGAATTGCAGGGCTCAGGGTATTCAGGTCAAAAAGATTTCCACCCTTGAACCAGCCTGGAAGCCATGGTTTCATTAATACGGCTGTTGCCACAACCACCGTCATAGCAATAGCCAACAAGAAATAGCAACTGCCGCTGTTGCATAGTTGCCGCGACTGCTTGCGAGCAATGTACTACTGAGGCTACTGCGTAAGTTCGCAGTGTGACCACGAAGCACGTGAACAGACCCCTCTTTGTCTGCCTCATGATTCATCACCATGCTTGTTGCGATTAGAAGTACATCCGATCTAAACAGCTCAGAGTAGGGCTCTTTGTATCAGAGCCTGCAGTAAAGTGAGGTCAGGAACTACTAAAGATATGAACCGACTTCTGTAAAGCAATCCAAGGTAGCTTGGGCAGGCACCGTAGGCCCCTTGCAGCAAAGATGTTTGGCCCGGTCAGGTGTCCAGGATGGCTGCCTGTAACACACGAAAGCGAAATTTCAGCCCAACGCGCAGTTACCAGCCACCTCTCAGCCGGGCTGAGGTCTTCACATGTTCAGAAGAGAGCCTGTTTTGGAGCCCTCGACAGACCAACGATGCCAAAACAGCAGTGAAATACATGGCGTGCCCACCTTTGATGCTTCCAATGTGGTGATGCATTCACCTGTTGTGCCGCACCATACTTTGACCTGCAACGGAAAAGTCGGGGCAGCGTCGCACGATGAATTTCCCTAGCACATCCCCACATGCGTCTGAGCCAGCCGATCACGGCCCGCAAGATGTAATCATGTCTGGGCTGGCCACATGCCACCCTGCTGTCACCACTTGTCCAGGTCGACAGCGAACAAATTCCAAAGCCTCGCACATGAAGCGCTCAAGGAGAGGTGCCTAACTGCTTGTCATCCATGACCAAATCTGAGAATCCAGCAAGCAATGTCTCACCTGTTGATGAGCCCTTGGCATCACAAAACTGCCAGAGCAAGGCTGTGCACGTGCGTGGCCAGCCTCCAACAGTCCCGAAGACTCAAGCAAAAGGGTGTCCTTCTCAAAACAATGACGGAGTCAGACCAAACGTCCACCTAAATTCACCTGCCTCCAACAGCTCTGCACCCTCAACAGCCCGAAAGCGTTGCGAACAAGGGTATTCTGCCTTGGCTTGATCCAGCTGTTTGCCACTGCTCATCTGCGATCATCCAAAAGCCAACCTGCTGCCCCGGCACAATACCTGCAGATTCCGCACTCGAAGAGATGGCCTGCATCGAGTGCTCAAATGTGTTCCTGTCTGAAGGAAAACCAAACTTCCTCGAGCCTCTGAAACAGCTTCACAAATTTCTGCAACCTGCAGCACGGCTCAGTCTTTGCTCCAGGCCTTACAGTACCCTTTGCAGGAATCCATAGGTGCGCAGCTGTCACATGCGGCTGGATCTGAAGTGAGGCCAGTCTTTTGCCAGTTGAGGCCAAGTATGCCTCCACCATTTCTACAATTTTCTGCGGCACAAAAGCTGGGAAAACAACAACTGTAACACTGGTTGACAAATTGCACATGCTGTGATGTGCGAAGATTCGATTGATTTGCTTTGATATCCTGCGAAGACAAAACGCATCGGCTCCCTTTGCACCAAGCTCCGGAAAACTGCCGTTTTCACGATGCAAGCGAGCTCGCCGCCAAGTCCCAGCCCAGCCTCCAGCATTATGTCCTCGGCATGCACTTGAACATGTGCATGGAAATAATCAAAGTTCCAACCTAACAACACAGGATCTGTGAGAAATTACATAACTGCAATCAAGCATCTCCACCAGTCATGCTCAACAGCAGTTTTCATACCAAGCATTGCAGGACTACGGCAGCCAGGAGGCAAAGGTCTGCTTATGCGCCAAGCAAGCAGTTGTTGTGACATTGTGCAACACAGCATACCCACGAGGGTTCAACAATTGGAAACCTTTCCCGACAGCCGCTTCAAAGATAAAATGCTTAGCACATTCCTGAGCAAAGCCGAAAACCTTGTGATTAATGCACAGCAGCACATATGCGGGACGCCTGAATCGTGTTGATAGTCCAAACATGTAGGTGTATCTGAACGCAACATCCGCGTTCATCAACCTCTCGGGCAGACAGCATAAAACAAATTAATTATTGAAGTTTGTGTCCATTTATTGCGATGCGCATTGTCCATCCACAGGATGGCCCACCAAATGTTCGGGTGTTTGGGGTGATAGTGATACATGCCCAAAGCTACCCTGCTGTGTGAAACATTGCTTACACCCTGTAACGGCCGGTGAAGCAAGCCCGCGTCACGGAAAATATTGTTGGCACAGCGGTTGCCGTCTCAACATGAAACATGAAGCTTCACCAATGACGAAAGCTTTGCTGCTTATCATCGCCGTCGCCATGGCATCCGCCACAACAACTGCGCGGCTTTTTTGATGCGCAACTTGACAAAACAATGCATCGCTCTAACGCATTCGACAAAACCAGAGAAAGTTGCATTCCAAACGTGACGCGTAACCGTTTTTGACCATGCATTTTTGCACCAAACAGCCAATGCCAGGCCGCAGGCCTGAAACATTATGGGCCGTTTTGTGGTCACGGCTCCGTAAAAACAAAAGCAAAATTGAACAACAACCTTAACATGTACCAAATACGGTCTTGGGTACTAGCGGACAATATTTTTTGGTTGCCGGCTTCAGAAATCCAGCCGTTGATGCCTCTGCTTCACCTGCCACTGGATTGTATTCTGTCCCCGGCTCGGTTGTTACAAGCTTGTGTTTAGGTCTTGGAATATTGTTCTCAAAAAATAAAAGTTCGTGAGTCCATCACGTAATTCAAATACTGCTACTAAACATAAAACTCTCCGTCTGCAAGCGGAACATACATGAATGGAAGCAACTTCTCAGCTGCAAACGACAAATTCCAATTGTGGGAATTGTCAAGGCGAAACATGTGTCATGGAATATTTTTTGACTTTGACTTTGAAAGCGCAGCAACGTCTCCGAAGCCTAGCGATCCCGTAGACAGGCCAGTTGTGGCCCGGCATTAAGCTGTAGCATGTTACATCTACCAAGGTGCAAAAACATGCAAGCGCACACTAAATGAGGCTACCCGTTTCTGGAAACAGCAGTAACCGCAAAAGAGTTGCCCGCATCGAGATGCAGCAACAACTTGGAAGAGTACTCCAGTAAACTAAAGCCGAAGTAGTTATACAGGCATTGCACCGAGGCTGGTCCCGTCACCCTTCGGCGAAGGGGGGCTTGAAGGGGGGCTTGAAGGGGGGACGACGGGTGGAACCCTTCACACCCCCTTCAAGGGGGGCTGAAGGGGGGGGGGCCTTGGGTAGGGGGGG